GGGGCCGACGCTGCATGGGAGCGCCACCTTCTGGGCAAATGGCATTCAGGATGCTCCTTGGGGGCTTTCTTGGTGGACTCACACCCAACAAGGTCACCGTGAGTCTTGGGATAGTAGGATGTAACTCTTCCTTTGCTCCGTTTCAGGCGGGAGCCTCTGGGACTTCTGAGGCTCTTGGAACACCTTCCTGCTTTCCCCTAGGGATTCTTAGCCTCATTTGTGAAAGTCGCCCCACCTTGATTCTAAAACCAGTTGTTAATTAATGAAGCTGTATTTCTAAGAGGTCAGACTTGCAGAGTGACTGCACTCCAAAAGAGCTGTCTTGTGTTCTTTTAAAGATAATCAAAAGCCAAATGCAGGCTCCGGACATTTGATTAATTTGTTGACTGACCTGATTTCCACTCTTATCCAGCGAATAGTTTACCAAAAAGCCAAGGGGAAATATATATAAACATATATTTTAGCTGAAGCACAACCTCTTATGATCAGTATGGTTAAGAAACAGAAACAAATTGTCTGACAAATATCAAAACGGTGGACTTGTCTCTGAGGACAAATGCTTGGAGTAGGGTACTGGGGCGAGCAGGTTCTCTAACGTTTAACATTAAATAATAACCACAGCCTTGGCTTGCAAGACGGTCTGCACTACACAGGAGGAGGTGCTGGGCTTCACACCTGACCCCTGATATAATGAAGAATCATATACACCAAAGGTTCCTGGGAAGGAACTCAGACAATCCTCCTTTGTTCATTTATTTTGGGAGATTGTTTGCCTGTCCTTTTACTCTATACCTCCAGTGGGTGTGAACAGAGACTGAGTCTACGCCCACAAAAGGAATGAGCTGATAGTTTTCTAGTTAGTTCCAGGCTGAGTCAACAATCAATACCAAAAAAAAAAAAAAAATCTAAGAAGAAAACTGAGCCTGCAACCTCATTTGTCCAGGATATCCATCCTGATATAGCCTATTATTTGTAATGCAGATACCCTGTCTCCATTTATCAATATCAAAAAATAGAAGAACTAGTTCTTGCCCAGCAATCTCTGAGTTGCTGTGAAGATCAAATGTAATTATGTATCCTAAAATGTAAAATGTACTCTAACTTGAAAAGTGCTGTAAAATGTACTCTAACTTGAAAAGTTAGAGTAAACATCATTACAGTAACTAAATAAACTGGGCCATTGCAAACTTCACTCTTTGTCTCATCTTGTGTAAACTGCTTTAGCAGTGTTAGGTAAGGCTTTCATAGGCTTCGAAATGGAAGTAATGATAAATGTCTTGCATAACAGTCTAACTTAGAGCTGTGATTTCTTAAACGTTAGCTCCGTCTAGTGGTTCTTTGTTCTATTACAAATGAGATAACAAATGGTTGTTGAAGAGAACGTACTCTGAAATGTATTTGCTTCTGTGGTGGCTGCCCACTTCATCTGAATAAGTTCATTTAAATAAGTCTCTTAAGGTTATGTTATCTACTGCACAAACATGCCCAAAGGGAGATTTTTCATGACAATATTAAAAACCTATCAAGCAACCTCATAATCCTGCTTGTGAAAAGAAGATAAAGAAAATAGGGAGCAAACTATCATAGTTAATAAAATTTCTCAAATTTTAATGAGCTCTCATGTTCTGTGGCTCAGATAAAAAGGAAACAGATGATACTCATTTGAAGTGAGAGATGTTAAATCCTTGGTAGGTACCTGATAAGAAAAAGGAACAAGGAGATAACTTCCATTTTAGTTTTAGATGTATGAACACCGTCGTTCTCAGCCCACACTGTGTGTGTGTGTGTGTGTGCCACTTTGAATACTATTTTTAATGGCACACTTGAAGAGATTAAAAGAACTAAAAGAACACTAAAAAGTCAGCAATGTTTAACCACCATCACTACTCAGTGTAACAGCATCTCACATCTCAGTGTCTATGAAAGCATATCCAGTCGTTTCCCTCAACACTATGTTTGTGTTCTGCCCTGTCTACATTCTCTTTGATATTCACAAGCCAAGGCTGCATGTGTTCAGTAAACACACCACCTTTCTTGGGGCTGGTTTGACAATACACTCTGCTTTTTGCCTCTCATTTGCCGCCTTCTGTTTCCTACTCTACGTTCAGTTCTAGGACCAGCTCAGCTTAAAGTTCTTTCTGAGCTCAGTATCATGTAGGAATCTCAGATAGATCCGACTTTAATCTTACGAATTTGTCAAAATTTGGTAACACATTTGGGAGAGATTCACAATACACCAATGTGCTTTGGCAAACCAGTTGAGAGCCCGTGTTTTTTACATGAGAGACAAAGCCACAACTGCCTAGAACTTCTACCAAGAAAGATACAGAGTCTGAAATTAAAACTTCTAAAAGTCTATTCTGATATTTCTAGCTTCCCTTCCTTCTCAGTGGTTCTTTTCCTGTGCTCCCTCAATATTTTGTTTACCACTCAATTATAGCACGTGTTTATGTCTGCATAGATGGTGAGCTCCTTGAAACAAAGATAAACTTTGCCAATATTTGTTCTCATAAATGTAATTAAATCATGCTGAATTAATGAGTTTGCAAAAGGAATTGATAGTGATGGAGGTAGAACTCTACAGAGAGAGCATGGAGACAGAGGTCTGCAGACTGGCTGGTATAAGAGTCCAGGGGATGCCTGAACGATCTCTATGTCCTACAAAAAATCCATCGAATGAAGAAAGAGACAATGCCACACACCAGAGGGCACACGCACAGCAAGTGGCATCATGCAAAGACAGGAATTATATTTTTTTTCCTTTATGAAAACCATGAGGCATAGTTGACAGATTTCAGGAATCCAAGAACCCCTCATACAGAGGAGAGTTGCCTATGAGATCTGGAATGCCTAGGTGGGAGCCAGAATGAGCAAGCAGCGATGCTTCACCATTGGCAATCAATTAGCATCATTAGGAGAAACTGAACCTAGAAATGACTTCGGACACCATGAGTGAAATATCTAAAAGAGGGAGGATTTGCAGAATGGGAAATTTTAGTTTTTATAACCCAATGACTGACATTTATGATATGTAATTTCTGTTAACAAAATTTCTTTTCAAATAGACTTATCAGAAGAGAGTTGGGCAGGCCGTATCTATTGGAAAGACCTGTTCCGTATGACAGATATCTTCCCCCGCACACACCTCCCTGCAAGTGCTGGGAGAAGGAAGAGAATCTGCCTTAATGAGAATCATAGACTATGAAGTTAACTCATTGATCAGAGGAAAAGGATGCACTGACGTAGGTGTTACACTCAACTGTGACTCACATGGCAGACATTTTGAAATGTTTGTAGAATTGAGTTGTAGCCCTCTAAAAGCCCAAAGCTATTTTCCCTTTTTCTCGACTCTTATCAAAAGAAAACATGATTTTTTACCACATCCTTTCTCCTGGAAAACAATCAAAAACTATTTACAACAATCTCATTTTATTATAACGAACATTTGCTCAGAGTCTAGAATACACCAAACACTGATATAGGTTCTAAGGATGAAAAGATGGTAATGATTGGCACCCGCCCTTAAGAAGCTCAATAAACACTTAGTGTTTACCATCTTTATGATTCTCTCCTTTCAGCTACTTTCCTCTCTTGACTGTGCCCTCTAAATCATGCTTTCTTTGTCCATAAACTACATTCAGCTTGATCCCTTCATTGAAGCCTTTCCTGCCTCCTCTGAACGGAGACTTGGCTCTCCCGCAAGGTCTTGAGGTCCCAGACATCCCACTCCTTTGGAAGATACTCATCTGCCATGGCCCATGTACCTAGAGCTAGAACTTGAGGTGAGAATTTGTCCAGTTCTTCACTACCATATCTGAACCACTATGCTTCCACATTCATGTAAAACTTCTCCTTTGAAAGGCTTAATCAGTAAAAATCATACTCTACTCCTCTTTACTTCTTCAAATAGATTTAGAAAAAATTGTATTCAATTTCGAAAACATATAGGTGCCTGAGGGACACTATAGAGAAATACTGAGTAAGAAGTTGGATACACAGGTGTAGAGCCCAAGAGAAATATGTGGATGGAGCCAGAGGTTGCAAATCACTAGCTGATAGCTCCAAAGGAGCCTGAGAAAGAACAGTTTGGAAGTGGAGACAACTAGGGGGAGCAGTTTTGTAGAAGCTCAGAAGGGAGGAGTCTTTAAATGAGAAGATTGAAGAACGGAATCACAGGCTTTGACCTATGTACCTTAAAGTCTCTTTGAAAGAGAATTAAATATTCAGAGAATAAGAAGAAATGTAATCTCTAAGGTGAAAACAAAACATTATGACAAAAAAAAAGGTAGATTTTGAAAAAAATAAGAATTTAAAAAATAGTCATGGAAATAAAAATTCCACAGGTATTCTAAATAGTTGTCTAGACCCACTTAACTGGAAAGGAAATTGCACAGAATATAGTCTAGAGAAATAAACAGATGGGAGATGCAAATGACAAGTGGATGGAGTGAGAGGCTCCAATTTGTGTCTAAAAGGAATCCCCTAAGGAATAAAAACATAAGATGGGGAAGAAGCAATATTCAAAGAGATAATATGAAAGAATTAGCCAAAACTTAAGAAACTGAATTTCCCAGAATTAAAGAAATTCTCAAATTGAAAAGGCAGGATAAATGGAAAGAAACAAATCCAGACCTAGACAGACTACAGTGAAACTTCAGAACTTTAAAAAAAAAAAAAAGTGAAAATCTTAAAAGCTACCATAGGAAAAAAATAGATGAGGTACAAAGAAATGAAATGATACTGACATGAGAGATATCAACATGAACAAGAGAATCAGAAAATGATAGAATACACGACGAGTCCCCAGATATAC